CCTGCTGTACCTCCAACTTCATGCTCGCCCGTTGGTGGGCAGTACAACGGGGTTTGACTGTATACATTTGTACATGTATGTAAAATCCAACCTCGTTCGCGCTCTTTACATCGCCCCCCCCCCCCCTACACACACACACGCACACACCCTCCCACACTCACTTCATTGTGTCCTTTTCTGTTTTCCTTAAACAACTATCACAGAATTGCATTTGTTTTTGTGGGTTTTTTTTTTACATCCAGTAATCAAGATATTCCGAGCAGAAACGAAATAAAGCACAGAGAGCAATGTCGTCTTAAAATTGCTCGACGACAAGAAAGGCTTCATTGACAATCTGACAAGCTGATAAGATCTTTCTCTGTCTATAGCTTGGAACCAATTCCTACTTGGGTGAAATAATAATAAAAATCATACCAAAAGACCAAGGATTCAATGTCGAAGCCCCCGACGGCTCGAACCCATATACATGATGTAATTACAGTAAGACCTTTCTGTTGAGTCCGAGAGTCTACTCACGACGCTATTATTATACATCATGCACAAACATGTACTTCTCGTCAAGGATTGAAAACAAGCAAACAAACAAATTATATCATTTTATCAGAACGAAAACCCTTACGTATGGAGGCGGGCATGCACACGACGGCGAGGGCAGAGAGAACAAACAGGCAGACCTTCATGATGGTCGAGTCTTTGGAAGTTGGTGCGAGGACTTGGTAGGCCAGCTAGTCAGAAGAATGGGGCCTGTGTGGTTTTAGATAAGAGCTTATATTGTGTCTGCTTGCTGCAGTGGTCACGAAATGACCAGATGGTTCACGTATGAGGTCAACTAATAGGCGGGACTCCTGTTATGCAAGTCCTTCTACCAGTGCTCCGTTTTACATCAGGTGTATATGTAGTTAGGTCAGTATTGTCCAGAATATTTCGTAGTTCTGGCCTTGGGATTATAGACAACAGACTCATCCCGTTTTGAGTGGCACAACTCTACACACTCCACGCCATTGTGACCCCGTCTTGAGAGAGCACGCCATTAAAAGCGGTGTGCTGGGAGTATGGCCATAGACTTGTATTAAATCCTAGAACGTGCACTTGGATATAATTCCGCTTCACTACGGAGCGCACCATATATAACCCAATTTGATTTGGATACCAAATGAAGACAAGGGGGGGGGGGGTGTTGTACACACTGGTGTTTTACCTTTCAGTTTCACTTGTGGTGAGAGATGTATGGGTATGACTTTTGAAAACATATCGTTGCGAAAGATTTTTCAAGATCTCAGCACTCTGTTCCCCCCCCCCCCTCTCTCTCTGCCTTCCACGATACTCTTAGCAGTCTCCTAAGAAACCACATTTCTGTTGCTTCTATTTTATTTTCACTGTCTTTAGTGATTGTCCAGCATTCACAGCCCTATAGAAGGGTTGAACAAACATAACATTTCAGGACTTTCATTTTGGTGTTCTTTGAGATGTTTCTATTTTTCAGGATTGGGCTCATTTTATTGAAACTAGCCTTAGCCATTGTAGTTCTCCTTTTTATTTCTGTGGAACATTTGGCATCAGATGTTATCATATATACGAGATATTTAAACCGTTGGACTTGTTTGATCTTTTCACCTTTGCTAATGGGATTACAACTAGGATTTGCTGCTTTTTTGGATATTACCATGCATTCTGTTTTCTTTACATTCAACGTGGGTGGTTGACGGGTGCTGTGGTGTGGTTTGCTTCTTCTTTCCTATCAAACATCTATCGTCCTTATCTCCCCTTCTTCTTTTTTATGTTTGTTACTCTCTTGTAACACCTCTAATCTTCTGGCGCTCATATGACCTTATGCAGTTGCGAGCGCCGTAAAACCTCTACTAAAACTAAAACTTACATTCAACAATAATCCTTTACGTTCACTTTCTGTTACAACAGTATCTAGAAGCAATTGAAGGTCCTTTTTGGAGCCTGCTATTAAAACTGTGTCATCTGCATACTTAATGTTTTCTCCATTTACTTTAAGGCCTGGACATTCTTCTATGTTTCTAAGGATTGTTTCACTGTACATGTTAAAGAGGTCTGGTGACATAACACATCATTGCCTCACTCCTCGTCTAATCTGCTCATATTCACTGTATTCCCCATTAATTCGTACAGCAGCGTTTTGTTCCCAGTCCAAATTTCTGATAATTCTTAGTTCTTTTCCGTCTATGTCTAGCAGCTTTTCCTGTATTTTAAATAGCTCGTCATGTCTAACTTTATCGAACGCCTTTGAATAATCTACGAAGATAAATACAGATCTTTCTGTGCTTCAATACATATTTCCATTAACATTGTTATGGTGAATATAGCATTTCTGATGCCCTTGTCAGGAACAAAACCGAATTGCGTTTTAGATATCTCTGGTCTTACACTTTTTTCTCAATCTTCCCATTATGACTCGCAGCAATATTTTTGTAAAATGACTCATAATGCTAATTGTTCTATGCATATCACACTCAGTGGCACCTGGTGTTTTAGGTAAAGCTATAAAACTGACATCATCATGATAATATCTTCTGGGATCTCAACGCTGTCATAAATAGCATTTAGGAGCTTTGTGGTTATTTCAGTGCCTAGTTCTTTAAACGCGACAATCACTTCAACTAGAATATTATCTGGCCCTGTGGTTTTTCCTTGTTTTATTTTCCTAATGGCAGCTTGTACTTCTGCTTTCAGTATTGGTGGTCCATTTATTTCATTCTTTATTACCGGTTTTTCTCCTCTATTATCTTTGAAAAGTTCTTCTATGTATTCTGACCATAGCTGTTTAAGACATCCATATTGTCCATTAAAATATCCCCTCCCTTCAATCTTATGCATCCTGTATTTGAGCACCCTTTTATCCCACTTACTTCTTTGATTTTGGAATGCATGTATTCGTGTCTTTGTTTTGGTTCTTCTCTATTTGTTGACACTGATGATTTATCCATGTTTCTTTTGTTTCGTTGCATTTTTTCTTTATTTCCCTGTTTAAGATGTTGTACTTTTCCACATTTGATTTTGCCTTTCTTCTCTCTTCCATTAGTTTTAATATGTCCTGGGTCATCCATTTTTTATTTGCTTTTTTAACTTTTGTTGGGATATATTTTCTTCCACAGCTTCCATTATTGAGTCTTTCACTTTCCTTCATAGTTCTTTCGATTTAGTAATGTTTTCCAAGGCTTGAAATTTATTTCTTACCTTTATGGAGAAACGTTTTTTTCAGTTCTTGATTTGTCTTTAAAAGACCTATGTCAAATTTAGGTTGATACTTTGACTTTTTGATAACGCTGTTATCTGATAAATGAATGTACTTTTCCTTGACAATTCTTGGGATACATGTATTACAGCAGTGGTTTCCCGTTACCCACTGCCGGTTTATGTACAGTTTTCTCTGCTAGCCTTTATCATCCACTGACAACCCACAAGGCAGTGGGGGCTTTGGTAGGATTTATTGCGCCTCCCGTCGCCAAGATGGTCCCTTCTTCGAGTGTGTGAGATATTTATTGAAGCACCTGTGCCACCAGGGTTCCCATCTACTCTCCACGACAATCTCCCATAATTTGGTTTGCGACTGCTTAGCAGCTAACCTCCATATCTGGAGGCCTTTCCCCTATCCACCACCCGGGGACGCGCTGGGTTGGGTATGAGGACCCAATACTAAATCTTAGTACTATAATTACTATTATCAAGCATCTGCGTTTGGCCGCGATTTTTTGCATTTTTCAAAAAGAAAAGGCTACTTCATGTGTATTTTGACAATTTTAAGGTGTCCATGTACAGTTCTTTTCACGCAAAGAATAATAATAAGTACATAACATACTATTATACAGTATTGCTTTTTGGCTTTTATTTTCCCCTCTTTGTCGGTGTGTTATTTTTTGGGGTGTTATTTTCTTATCTATTTGTGTCTGTTTATACAGCGTAATGTCATTTAATTTGATGTTCCTACTTTAAAAAAAATTAAAAATATATATTATATAAATGTGTTATGTTAGAGCGTGTATCCACCCAAACCGAATACTGACACTGGCAGGCCCCTTGTGTGTTATTCCATAATTTGCATCCTGTCTTTTTCTTGAATTAAACACGTTTAGGGTTAAAACGGCCAACCTTCGGATAGGTGGACACACGCCCTTATTTGTTACTTTTTTGCGGTTGTTTGTGTGCTGTTCTAATTTTGATTTCATTCTGTTGTGAAACATTTATTTTTCACGTTTTTACATTCTACCTGGCTACAAATAATATTCTGGATGCTTAAAACAGAGCACAAGGAATTCTGGTGCTTTAGATTAAGTTACCTCTATTAATATATTACGTCGTCACAGCTAGTTGAAAGCCTGAAAATTATTGGCAACTTTTTTGGCAACTTTTGGCATTTTTGTGGTAACTTTTGGCAACTTTTGGACCCCCCCCCCCAAATGGCAACAAACGCAGGTGCTAGTATTATATCGTTCATAAAAAAGACCAGGCGAACTTTTTATGAAATCCTCCTCTCGAACAGCTGACTTCCGGTCTAGTGTTATTGTTTACCTCAAGAGAAGGACCCATTCTGCGTACACAATATTGATTTCGTTTTGTTTGAAGTTTATCAATGGTTCTTTTAATGCCACCATCATGAGCGATCTGTCTAAGATGCGATACGTAAATACCAGTGCTGCAACAGTCAAAATGACCGGTGGTATCCCTTTTGTGGCTGGGAATTTAGCAGACTCAGACACTGACGAGGAGGATGTCGAATCTCATGAAACCGACGAGAGGAATCGTGACCGCGAACAACTGTCAAACGATCGCTTCCATTCTAGTGGAGATAACGCTGTGTTGAAACTTCCAGATGGAAAAGACATTCATAATTCTTCAAACTCGGGAAAAAGTATAGTTGGTGATGTTAGGATAACTAGTCGCAACAGTGTCTTATCTCAATTTGATTCTGATTCAGCTGTTACAAAGTCAAAGTCAAAGTCAGCAGCGAAGGCGAAGGAGGTTTCTTCTGCTAGTGCCAGTGGTGCTGCAAATGGATATGTTTTGACTCATCAGACTATGGGATCAAATGTTCAAACAAGGGATGCTGAAGCGACTGAAGATATGTGTACAAATTCTGTGAAAGTTTCATCTCCCATAATCCCAAAACATTCCACTAATAATAATGAGCCTGGTAACTCAGACAGTGACAAGACTGTTAATGTTGTGGTGACTGTAGCTAACACTCCTGTAGAAATTCCTTGGAAGGGGAAAAGATCATGGAATTCTACTGCTAAGGGTGACTCATCGTCTGATCACAATCAAGATCATCAGTCATCCATGAATAGCACCGAATGTAGTCTATCCCCCAGACTTTCTCAGTCAGTAGAAGATGAAAAGGTACCCCCATGATTTGTCCCAAATTTCTAGAAGTTCAAGTCCAATATATAATTATTGGCCTATAAACTTTATAAAGGCAAAGTGGTACTCTTATGTTGTTCTGTTCTCAATTTCAATGTGCTGTTTATTTTACGGCCGGCTCTATTTCTCCGTCCGCGTGGGAAAATAAACTTGAACTCTATTTCTCCGAATGGTTTCCATTCTCGAGATTTTTTGATAATTTGCGAATGGAGTGCATTGTGAGTGAGTGTGTGTGTGTATTTAAAAGGTGTGAACGAGGCGTGAGGGCAGAGGCGTGGAGGGATCTTATTTTTGTTTATGACGGACATGAATGATTTTAGTTTTTGCTTTAGACTTTAGGGGTGACTTCTCGCAGTACCTTTTGAAGGCATTTTCAAATGAAGTACATGTTTAATAGTCCGGGAACGTTGCCCCAATCACAACTGAAGTGTCTGAATATATTCAGACATTTAAAAATCTCACGATCTAGCTCTAGAAATTGAATACGATGCAAAAAATGCTTCTTTCCTAATCCACGTAAAATGGCAGAATGAAAGATGACGCTTAACTCACTTGCGACTGGGCCCTTTCACCAGTCACAAGCGTTGAAGACTGGTGTTTTGGGGGGTATTTCAATAAATCACCACAACTCTCAGAATTACCCTATTGTAATCATTTTTTGACACAATAAAGTACCATTCAAGCTTAATCTAATACAAAAAACTAAAGTTGTCTAAGTCTAATACGTTAATTTGTATGATTTTTTAAAAATTGGCATGAATTTGGTTTTCCGAAAAATTTCCAGAGACGTGACAAGTAGAATGAAATTCACTGCAACAACAAAAATAAAAGTTCAAAGTGTTCTGGTTTGATTTGTATACATGTGCGAGTGTTTGGTGAAAATATAAAAGCTGGTCTGTGCATTGATTCAGACCCATACACTGAATTACATGAGACAGATGTACGGCACGACGTTGTGATTTCGTTGCGCGAAAAACAACACCGGTACTAGTGCTAGATCTAGCCCTAGAACTACGAATCGGGCCGTGTTCGGGTACATATCCAGGATCCTACCTATTAGACACATCATATTCTGAGACACTAGAACTAGTAAAACGCACAGAAGTATAGAAAACGGCGAAATTATGTGATTCTTGTTCTTGCGACTTCTTCGACCGTTACTACGACGCGACTGTCGGATTACTATCAGCTGTATAGAAAAAAACAAAGCGCGAGTTCCGGTCTGTTCAACCCCAGTTGGGGTCACTGTCTTTCACATTCAATAACTTAAAAACTACCGGCCCCAGAGATACGAAACGAAGTCTAAGTAGCTCAGGCTTGGCCAAACAAGGGTACGAGGCGGGTCTCGTGATCCGTGCGTGATTTGTAGAGCGGAAAAAAAATTCCAAAGTTGGTCACGCAGGGCTTGTGAGACCCGTCGCGAGCGTCGCGGCGGGGTTCACGCAACTGTTGTGTGACCCGTCTGAAGTGAGTTAAATCTCGCAAATATCCAAAAAATCTCGAGAATAAAAGTTTACCCTCGGGGAAATAGAGATCAAGTTGATTTTCCTGAGTGTTTGGAGAAATAGTCACTTCATTATTTTATTCCTACTGTCTAGATCTATATTCACTCGCAGAATTGCTCTTTTCTTTCCACCCTGCATTTTTAGGCCTACACATAATATAATAAAATTCTTGATTTTTTTCACCACTGGAGGTTTATGCTTTCCCTTAAATTTAAAGAGATACACACATGCACTCATTTAAAAAACCCTCTAAGACTGAAATGTAGTGAATCTGGAGGTATGATGGTTTGGACCCACTAGCCTTGGGTTTTTTCTTAGACATTTTGAAAAAGATTTCAATATGACATGATCAGGGGCTTTCGTGGCTTAGAGGTTAAGGTGTTGGCCTCTCATTCAAAGGTCCCGGGTTCGAATCCGGGTAGCGACCGAAAAATGTTCTTCTCTAAAATTGTCTCCTTTCACCTCTTTCCTGCTCTCTAGCAATATTCTGTCGTCTGTTTTCGTCTCCTCTTTCTGCCCCCACCCCCTCACCTCCTTTGCCCCCTCCTCTAGGCTCCTGAATCTTTCTGCAGCCTTTCTACTGCTACTCCTTGACTCCTTATTACAGGCGTCTTTTTGCCACACCCCTAATCTTCTGGTAGGAAAGATCTGCACCTAGCCTTCTCGGACAAGGGCGTAGGTTTTCGCCACCACCCGGGCAAAATTCAAAATTTCCTACCAACTAAAAGTATTAGGTGTGTCCCGCGTGCTCATATGAACCTTATGCAGTTGCGAGCGCCGTAAAACCCTCTACTATTAAAAAAAATGACATGATCATAGTAAGTTACAAATATTTTATATTCATTTTTAGACACTTTGAGACATAATGATATTGATAGTATCCAAGGCTTACTTTTTGTCTGGTACTATCGGCTGAAACTTTTTTCTTCCTCCCTTTCTTCTCCAGATGTGGGAAACTGGTAATGAAGGTAACATCTCGATCACTTCCTCCAAATCACTTTCTGCAATCTCCAGCAATAAAGGCACTCCAACCCGCAGCAATCCATTTAACCGAGAATTACTTGTGGATGAGGACCATTTTTCTGACACATTTGACAATTATTTTAAGGCAGAGAGGAAGTCCACAGGCAGCACCAAGTCTTGTGAGTGCATGAATGTAATAAGTTTGTTGTAAACCTTGACTGCTGAAAGTTTATTTGAGCATTTTTTATTTTTTGTCTTTGTTCTTGTATTGCTTTTCCCCCTTCATCTTTCATCTTTGATATTAAAATTGTTCTTGCTACCTCTTTATTTCTCTTTCTGGTACAGGCAGTCCTCTTGTAGTCTTATTCAAGAAAATTTAATCATAATAGTTTGCCCATCAATGTCTGAGAAAATAACCAGTGCATTTTCTGAGAAGAATATATCTCTTGTGGAAACAATGAATTTAAAGGGTTAAAATGACTTGCAGTGACTTAGCAATGAGACCTGAGACCAATTCCGCAAGAGAAGAGCTTGCCACATTTTGAACATTATTTAAAAGCTTAATTTCCACTGTACAGCTCTTGCAATTTCTCTCTTAGTCTTAGCTCCAGTATTTCTAATTCATGAAGTCTCATATAATAATGATATGACTTGCTGACCATTGCTACTGCTGCTCTCCAACTGAGTTTTTCAGGCTGAGTTAGACTCTCCCGTTTTGAAGGATTAATGATGAAGCCCTTCAGAGACATTTTCAGAGTGTCTTTGTAGTGCCTCACTTTTTTGATGCGTTAACTTTACGCTTCCCTGAGGACAGCTCAGAATAGAATACTGTCTTTGGGATTCTGATTTAACAGACGTTCTTACAATATGAATGTTTAGTCATTTTGAACTTAGAAAACAAGACCTTTTGACTTTGTGAGAACTTCAATGTCTGCTACTGGGTGTCTAAAAAAAACCTAACATACAACTTTAGGGCAATTACTCTGTCATCTATGGACCAATTTCAACAAAATGTTTGAAGTAATAAGAATTCAACCACAGGAATGTTACAACAATTATCAATATTCTAGAATATCAAATATAACACGTTAAAAAATATCAAGTTTTAAAAATTTCAACCAATCTTGAGTGAAGTGTGCAATACTTTTCAACTTGTAAAAAATTGGCCTTATTTGCTCTATTTGTGTATTGAAGAAAAAATTGTACAAACATGGTTTTGCCGAATAAACTCAAAGAAGGTGGTGGCTATTGTATACTCCAACTGTTGACCATTCTCCCCATGAGTGCAAGCTCCAACACATCCCTGGAAATTTTCAATGACCCTGTGGCATGTTCCTATGTTTATTCTTTGGACCTCCTGTTCAGCATTGAGTTTCAGCTTATCAATTGCAATTGTGGGTTGTTTTCATAGATTTTGTCAAAAAACCACAAAGGAAATAATTTAGTAAGTAATTTAGGGATGTCAAGTCAGGGGAATGCGGTGACCATTCATTTTAAGTTTTCGACTTATTAGGCGTTCCCCAAACCTTTCTTGGGACCATACAAGGGCCATTCTTGGCATGTGAGGTGGGCCCCCTCCCACTGGAACCAGACCTGCTCAACAGTGTAACACCTCCTTCTCCCCAAATTTTTTCTTAACTTTCTCAACATTGTGAGCAGATGTGATGGCCATGGTTTTGCATGGGTCCCCTTTAAAAATGTGTTAGACACCCTGTGTTTGTGTCGCGACACGGTAGAAGCAGGCACTTGTCAAATTTTGAGCATATAAAGTTATTGGTATATTATCTTAAAGTCGGTTCATTTGCCTTTCTTTCTGTGAAAAAAGTGTCCTATCTTGAATAGAAGTCGGGATATTTTCAATAGAAGGAGTCAAAGGTCGCCTGGTTTCAGAGGTAAAGTTTGCGAGAAAATGGCCTCCAAAGTTTGGTGACTTCTACTTCTATAGCTTGAGAGTTCTTGGAAACAGAAAATTTACATTTTTTGTGGCTTTAATTCATGTTTTCAGTAAAATCCACACTGAAATGTGTTTTTTAATGGACCTGAAGCCAGAGACAGAAAATTTGAAAAAAATTGCCCAACTGCCAGAAAAATGTCAGTTTCTTTGATTTCAGTATTTTGACGAGCGCCTGATTTCACCATGGTGCCTCACATTTTGTCCTGCCATTTGATGCCAAGAATTATTCAGAGGCATTTCATGTGGAAATAATTTAGCATTTTAGCATGGCTTTGGCTTGCTGTCTTTAATGTGTTATTGTTATCATCACAAATCCAGCAGCTGTTGTGGGAGAAGGCAGTCATGATCTTTGACCCTGTGAATTTTTCAAGAAGGTGGCTCATGTCTTATTTAGTTTTCCTTTGTTGCATTGTGTGCTGTGTTGAACTGTTGTCTCAGTTAGGAGTTGTTTGAAGAAATTAGGGTAATGAGTATACCCATTTTGTCTTTAGAGATGTAGTTGTCACAGTATGGTGGAACCAGGCGCTCGTAAATTTTTTGGCTTTTGGAGTTATCGATAAAGCTTGCTCATTTGTTGTGCTTTTGATGAAAAAAATACAAACCTTTCTTGAATAGCAGTCAAGGTATTTGTGATTGATGGAGGTGGGGGTTGACAGGTGTCAGAGGTAAAATTAGCAAGAAAATGCCTGTCAAAGTTTGGTGATTACTAAAGCTTGAGGGTCCTTGGAAACTGCAAAGTTACATTTTTGTGCCTTTGATCAATGTTTTTAAGTAAAATTCATGCTGCAAAGTGGATAATATAGGTAAGGTGTTGAGACAAGTAAAAAGAATTAAATAAAAATTGTCTAAGGGGATGAAAAATGTCAGTTTCTTTGATTTTATTATTTTGACGAGCATCTGATCTCACCACAGTGCCACACATTTTAAATGTGTATGGGAAGTCTTTTTTAAACTTCCAACCCTCTTATTTTATGGCTAGAAGTGTCCCTCTATGTGATGCTTTTTGTGTTTGTTTCTACTCTTTGTGCCAACTGTCCACAGCCTCTATGTCTCATGGCAGAGAATGGTGGCATGAAACTGTTCAACCCGAAGTTTCCTTTGCTGAGCTGGGTCTGTCAGAGGACCACTTCTCTCATCCTCAGGTACTATGTACTATATGTTGAGTGTGACATAATGAAGGCTGATAGGAGAGGGAAGACTTATAAATCCTTTTCTGTCATCTTTCTTTTCGCATTTTGGATGAATTAAATCGTAGTTTACCACAGATCAGCAGGTGATTGAAGGACTCTATTGGTAGGTCTGGACTCTTTACCTTCTCTCTCTTGTTTCTATATCCGTCTGTATGTCTGTCTTGTTTTGCATCTGTGGTAGATGGGTGGTTGGTGGGTGCTCTGGTGTGGTTTGCTCCTTTCCTATCAAACATCTATCGTCCTTATCTCTCTTCTTTCTTTTTTGTGTATGTTTCTCTCTTGTAACACATCTATTCTTCGGCACTTATATGACCTTATTGTGTTGCAAGTACCGTAAAAGTCTTACTAAAACCAAACTAAAGCACCTTGGTAAGTTTTTATATTTTCAGTATGCTACCATTTAGCTCAAATAAACATAATGTATAATATACTCTAGCTATGTTTATGATTATGGCTAGATTTCTCCAGCTTTGTGGATTCCCAATCTTATATCTGTTAGTTTAATTTTAATATACATATAATTAGTTGTCCAGAAGCTTTAATGGTATTTGATTCTGAATCAGATGGCATGTTTGGCCTGTGCTGTTTTGAATTTCTATTTTGCTTATACTAGGTGACAGGCAGAGTCAGACCACTTGCATTACTTTTACACCCTTTTCTTACTTTCTCTTCCTTTTTTTGTGTTCACTTTATTCCTGTTACATTTCATGAAAACTGGAGCTAAGTTGTTAAATTATAAAAAATGTTCAAGAATAACATGTTCAGCTATATTATAATAAAAACGGCAAGAGAATGTCTATTCTTCTACAAACTCTGGTCAGTCATTTACACAAGGCCTGACCAGTTACATATCCGTCGTACTAAATGTATTAGCTGGAGAGGCTAGCCATTATTTTTGTTTCGTGGTGATAACACTGGCTTAAACAGTCATTTTATTTGACACCCGTATCAGATAGTAGACATGGTGCTTTTGGGCCTTTTGTGTGAAAGTTTGTGTTTTGTGTTTTACGCTTCATTCGGCAGCCATAAGCACAAAAGGTGGTTTTCTGTCGGTTGGTCCATCCGTCCATCTGTTTGTCATCTGTATTATTATCTGTCTGTCTATCTGTCTGTCTGTCTGTCTGTCTGTCTGTCTGTCTGTCTGTCTGTCTGTCTGCCTGTCTGTCTGTCTGTCTGTCTCTCTGTCTGTCTGTCTCTCTGTCTGCATGTCTGTCCATCCGTCCGTCTGTCCGTCCGTCCGTCCGTCTGTCTGTTTGCCTTGCTTTTCATCTGTACTAAGTTGCTATTGTATTTTCACTGTGCTATTTAGCTCAAACAAACAGATACTCCGGTTTTGGTTATGGTTAAGCAGTTTTATTTAAGTCTGTAGTTTGAAGTTTATGCCATTTTCACTGATAGAATGTTTCACTTTTTTGGTAATGAATTCTTCAGTTCTTGTGAAAACATCATCTTGTAAGGCTGATTATTAGTAAAATTTAATTGCTCAATGAATTATGTCATTATGTTATGACTCCTGAAAATTGAGCTTCGTTTAGTGAAGCCTTGATGAGCCTGAATCTATTGTCATGGCAATCTCATTGAGACCATCAGAAAAATGTTAATGATTTTCCTTTAAAAAAAAAAAAGAAGTATTATATGCCAGCTGCAGTGTAGAAATAGCCCCCCCCCCCCCCCCCCCTTCTCCCTACTCTGGAATGACCATCTGTTTAAACATCAGTGCTAAGATGTACTTATATAGTATAATGAATACCATGTCAGCCGTCCTTTCTTCTTCTACTGTGCCGTATATAGTGTTCTCACAAATACTACTTTGAAACAGCCTGTTTAGAAATGTGCTAAAAATACTACAAACAACACTTTAAAAATAAAACTTGTGTTTGTAAGTTTACAGTTATTTTCTTTGATTCTTTGACCTCAATTCATACATTGTGTGCTGCATCATAACTCGTGCATTCTGTGTTGCACCTCTGTTCCTGCGTTCTGTGTTGCCCCTCTATTCATGCATTGTGTGTTACACCACTATCCCTGCATTCTGTGTTGCCCCTGTATTCATACGTTGTGTGTTACACCACTATCCCTGCGTTCTGTGTTGCCCCTGTATTCATACGTTGTGTGTTACACCACTATCCCTGCGTTCTGTGTTGCCCCTCTATTCATGCGTTGTGTGTTACACCACTATCCCTGCGTTCTGTGTTGCACCACAATTCATGCATTGTGTGTTACACCACTATTCTTGCATTATGTGTCATGCCAGGGTCACTTTGGCCTGAGTGATGTGGAGGAGCTGGAACTGGCAATTGACAACTGCAAGGAACTGATCCGGGAGGCAGCACAGGGCTCTGACAAGCAGAAGAACTTGGTGCTCAAACTCGTCCAGCTTAGGATCAAGCTCCAGGAGATCAAGGTAGGCGAGATGGAATTGATGGGTTTTGTGTGTATGTGCGCACACGCGTGTGTGGAGATGGGGTGGGGGTAAGTTTGTGATTTTTGTATGTTTTACAGTCCCATCAGCGCAATTTCGATAATGTAGGCGATACGTTGCCTCAACCCTCCAGTTTATGTCAAATCTGAGATGTGTGGAGAAATACAGCACCCTATCAGAAAGATAGTGATACTTTATCAAATGGACTTCCTTTGTCGGAATCAAAGGTATATCTTTTGCAGACAAGGAAAAGAGTTGTTTGCCACATGTGTGAATACAAGGGTTGGGGGAAGAGGTTCAGTTCAGAGAGGACACAGACCATTTGAAGGTTTTCTGCTTAACAATGAGCTTTTTGCTATCCTAAGACAGCATGAATTGTTTGTTTACCTGTCTCTCATTGATTCCACTTTTATTTTGTATTGAGACAAAGTGCATTGTAATTAAGTTATGGTGATATTGTCAGAAAGAAGTGTGAGGCACCGTGGTGTAATCAGGCGCTTGTCAAAATAATGACATCAAAGAAATCTGTGTTTTTATGGACGTTGGGCAATTTTTTTTTCGAATTTTCTTTTTTTACTCAACATCTTTATTGTCCATTAAGAAACACATTCATGTGTGGATTTTACTGAAAAACGTTGATTAAAGGCACAAAAGATGTAAATTTGCATTTACCAAGAACTCTCAAGCTTTGGTAGTTACCAATCTTTGTCGACCATTTTTTCGCTAATTTTACTTCTGAAACCAAGCAACACCATCTCCTTCAATTGCAAGTATTTCGACTCCTATTCAAGATAAATGAGTAATTTTTTCAATGAAAGCAACTGAACAAGCTTTATGATGATACCAATAACTACATGTCTAAAAACTGACAAGCTCCTGATTCCACCACGTCGTGACGCAAATACAGGTGAACCTGTGTAAGACGGCCACCAATTGTCAAGGAGAAAAATGGCCGTATAAGACAGGTGGCTGGCTTAGGCAGGACTGACCAAGATGAAGAAAACAAACCAAAGGTTGTTGCTTTGTTGTTGTTGTTGTTGGTATGTTTTTTGTTTGCTTTTTTTATTGTTTCTGATTTTGTGCAAGGGTTACAATAAAACGAAATGTGTCAAACGAGTAAGACTGAGGGCCATTTTAAAACAAACACATGGGGTCACCACCACTCAGAGAACGATTGAGCTACGCTTCAGTCGCAAGTTTATATTGACGTCCATTGTTACTTTGTTACAGACTGGGTACACAGTGGCCATTCATCTCATTTACGATTTGTGTATGAGTTCTGGGCGGGGCCTATGGGTTATGAGGGATCACACGCTTACCACACCAGCAGCTGGAAATTTGCTACCTATTGGTCAGCTGTGGGAGGGGCCTACGTAACATGATCAGTTAGAGGGACTACCTAACAACAACGACAGGTGTTGGATTATGACGTCTCGCCCACTACACCAGGGGTCGATGCATAATTTATGACAAAATGTAATGGAGTCACTAAGGCGGCCGTCTTAGACCGGTGTTATTGTTTGGTGTGATAGGGGTTGTGTGTTAAAATATGGTGGCAGCGGCCGTGTTGGACAGGTGGCCATTTTACACAGTGAAATTGCATTAAAAAAACGCTAGTAGGGAAATGGAAAGTGGCCGTTTGTACTGGTGGCCGTCTTATAGAGGTGGCCTTCATAGCAGGTTGGACTGAATAACATCCCAAACTCGGTTTTGCCGGATAGGTTAAAAAAAACTTATTGACTTCAAATTCAACATCTTGTCCTGTGTTTTTAACGACCCTAAAAAAATAATCAATACAAAGGTTTTGAAAGGTTTAAGTAGAAGTGTGATGCAGATGAAACCTGTTGCTGAGATAGAGAACTTATTTTTTCTTCAAGTTAGCTGAGGTATTCTTGGTGAATACACTGACTTTATATATTTGCATTGTACAGAGAATTTCAAATTACTAGTTACTGGGTATTTGCCTTTCATTTTGTTGAAAATGGACTCTGATGAGGTATGTATTATATTTACTCTGTATGTATCTGTCTCTGATTTGAATTGATTCAGATGCTAAAAATATCAAAAGCTATTGTGTTTTTATGTGATTTTGTACGGAGCACCTTACATATTTTCTTTTTATGACAAGGGGATTTTTGTGGATAAAAAAAAAACTATTCTAAAAGATGAATAAAACATTTATTTCTCTTCTTATTCTGTCTTTCTTTTACTCAGTCTGCTATATATTGCATGAAGAGCTTTTTGTTATGTATTTCCCTCAATGGCCTTGCACTTGATTAAATTTATAGATTTACTACAGCATTTTTCTGTCTCCACTTGAATTTCATTTTGATAGTATTCTGCTCCAAACATTTGACCGGAAGAAAAAGGACTATTTGTTTTTTGTTCCAAAGCTGTTGCCAATACTGTTCTGGCGGTCTTCAATAAAATCTTTCCCCTGGGCAATGGGAGAATGTTTCCCCACGACAGTGGTAGACATCCGTTATAACTGACTTAACTATGACATAGACGTTCGTGAAATTAATTTTGAGCCAGGAATGTTTTTTTAGTGACTGCAATGTGTTCCAGAAACCAGTTACACAGTTACAATACAACACCATTGAAATGATTCTGTCTGTGGTTAGGTGATCCCTAGATGTGGTATTCAATATTCCTAGAGAAAATCATGACAATGTTTGTTAATCATTAATTTGAAAAAAATGTTTGAAGTACATCACAGCATTGTCCTAAGTATGCCCGCCCACTTTTAACAAGTGTACTTATCTCAACAAGTTTTTCTTCACTTTTCGTCTCATTTATCAGGAGGGTCCAGAGCCCGTTGCGGAAAATGTGAAGGTCATCCTGTCCCATAAAATGATGCTGAAGTCGAGCCGCACAAGCAAGTACTACTGTGAGAAATGCAATGGCTCCATATGGGGGATGCTGCAGGCTTGGTATAGATGCACTGGTGAGGGTACACAACATCTGAAAAATAATAAAGATATCACTTATAATAAGGAAAGCAAGAATGAGAATGATAACAGTGGTCATGATAGTAATATAGTAATGATAATTTAAGAAATAATAATAATTATAACAACAGCAATAGTGATGATAACCTTGTTATTAATGATATCAAAATAATAATGGGAGGATGATGTTATTGGTAATTATGCTATTTAGATTAATATCAGTAAACAATAATAATAAATGACAATGGTAATTATAATGGATTGTCTTTGTATTTACCATTTACCTTGGAGATTGCAGAACTTATTTTGTTACAAAGATTTCATAAATCTACACTTTCAGTACCCATGATAGAGTACATGATTGCATGAATAAAATCTCTGTCTGTCTGTTTATCTGTCTGTCTGTCTGTCTGTGTCTGTCTCTCTCTGACTCTCCCCTTAAACACACACACACACGCACACACATACGCACACACATACGCACACACACACACACACACACACACACACACACACACACACACACGCACACACACACACACGCACACACACCCACACACACACATAAACACACACTCATACACATTCACACTCACGTACATGTATGCCCATGCTTACTCACAGAGAAGTGCAATACTTCTTTGAACAAATTTCTAAAAAATAGTCACACCTTTTATGTATTCAGTTTATGAGTCTTTATGAATGATGAAATTTGTGTTATTTCTTGATTCTTCTTTGCCATGATTAGCTTGGTGGATTAAGAACAACACTTTATGAGTTCAAGTAAAGGCTGTTCAGTGCCCAAGGTCATGCCTTTGTCTCTGTGAGAAAACACTTCACAAAATTTTTTCTGACACTACATAATATTGTTTCTTCCCTCCTCCCAGGCAAAGATAGATGTCCTTTGCTCCTCATGAGATCTTTTCCATTAAAACTTCTCGTATAATTTTTGTCAGTTTAGAGAATTTTAAACCAAGTTTGACAGCTATTTCACCTTTTTTCCCCTCTTCAGAATGTGGGTATCGCTGTCATGAAAAGTGTTTACAACAAATTCTCAGAACGTGTGCTAAAGCAAGGGTAAGTGCTGGTAGCCATCCCGCCACAGTGATGTGATGGGATGTTTTAGTCTGGCTTAACTCACTCAATCCTGTGACTGAGATATCTCGGTCAGCTCATGGGCTGCGTTCAATCCCTTCGATCGAGATAACTCGGTTCTATAGTTTTGTTCCGTATACTAGTTATTTCGTTTCAGAAAACAGCCTCAAGTTTTATTTAAGGTCAATTTATTATTTCCCCTGCCAATTCTTCCTTGAGGGGTGCTGGAATTTTGTTTCTGCTGTCATTACACATGGAGAAATCACGGTTTTTATGAAGGCACTTTCAGCACTTTTGTTCACACTGATCAGCTAAACATGTCTCGCAATTAATTCTCTCTGCCTTTCTTACACATACATTTTTTTTATTCATGAAAGTATTCAGCAGTCTTTATCATACATGATATACACTATGTAGATCTAGATGCTCACAAGCATATTTGAATTAATGTAGGCTTGCTCTTGCTCATTCGGCAATGAAAAAAAAAATAAGCCCCCAAAAATGAAATACATCCCAAAGCAAAACTATTGACGCTACATACTTCAAATATGGTTCATCTAAAGATCCATCTTAGGTTGTACTTTGTACCTAATTTCAAAGCAATTTGATGATATTTATGGTTTCTAGTGAGCCCTTACGTAAGTGCCAAAATGACCGGTTTCTGGGTACAATTTTGAGAAAAACTCCGGGGATTGAGTGAGTTATGCTAAATTAAACAGACCTGCCTTGGAATTCTTTTTATCCCGGTTTGCTACTGTGTTATCAAATTGTTTAAATACTATGGAACTTGGATTCAACTAAGTTGTTTGGCCTGACCTTCAATTTCGTTGGATCCGAGTTACTTAAAGCAAACATGAGGATTTTTATGTAGATAATTACAGGCACTGAGTAAGTAATGTATGATGTATTTGAATTCCTTAATAAAAAAAAGTGTGGTTTCAAATGAGAGGCATTTTAATTTCTTTGAATCCATACCAAAGAAATTCTGGAAAATTCCAGGAAAAACACTGAACTCTACCAGGCACAGACTGTTCAAAAGGTCTGACTAGTTCCAATGCACGCCTGTGTCGTGTATCGTCTATGACGTATTATTTACCATACAAGTTATGTTGCTGTGTATAGCTCAGCATACAGCAATCTTTGATTCCACAGACTAGTGCAAAATTCATTACTTATATCTGTGTCAAGACTAGCATTTAGTTGTAATATTGATCAGTAGCTGGGGAAAAAATGACTATGAGCTACTGTGACGGATTTATATCTCTACTGACGTTCTATACCTGGACCGCTTGTTGTACACCCCCCCCCCCCCACATATGCTCTCCCACTCTCTCCCACTCTCACACACACACATTCACACACACACACACACACACACACACACACACACACACACACACACACACACACACATGCACACTCAGTCACACACGCCCACACAGTCACACGTGTGCTTGCCGCCCATCCGACCTCAACACACCCTCATGTGTACACCAACAACTCGTGTTGGTATGAAATAAGACCGCAAATTGGTCCCTTAAGATATGAACAATAGAATAGGCTAAGTGACTAATGGTTCACGGTGCAGATGCTGTAGATGGTTTCAAGGAATAAATAAAGTTTGTTATGGGAGGAAAATGAGTGAAACCACGTCGGGGGGGGGGGGGGGGTGTCACCCTGCTAGCAACTTCGTTGAATCCAAGCTTGCTCATTTGTGTGTTTGTTGAAACCGAGTTATTTTTATTGGATTTTGATTAATATAAAAAAATATTGACATCCATCTCGTTTGGTGAATCCGAGTTCCACTGTACATGATTTCCCAAGTTCTACAAAGCAAAATCGCTATGGCTTGAGTTTGAAAGAAAATTTTTTTAGCTAAAATTTGTGAGGGTTGGGTCTTTTAAAAAAATGATTTACTCAACACTGTGGTAAATGACTTTCGCCTCTATAATGGCATGTTGAACATCTGCTGCATAATATTAGGATGTGCTGACAACTCGAAATGAAAGAAAGAATACAAAATTATTCTTCAGTTCTCCTCTAAGTTTGAATCAAGATATTTACCAAATGACATCCTTTAAATGTCCATTGTCGAGTGAAGTAATTTAATCAATTTATCTTAACATTAAAATACATCGCAATGAATATTCAGAAATTGCTTTCAAGGTAGTGAAGATTGTTATTTTTCTACTCATATCTGTTTCTGTGTCTTAGATTCTTGCAGACTTGGCACTTCTGGAGAAGTTTGAATCTGAGTTGAGTCTTTAAGTTTTAATATTTTTCTTCTTTCCTGGAATAGATTTATTCAGCCAAGAAAAATGTGGTAGCACCTGTCTCTCTGCCCGCCTTTGAAATATGCTTTTATTTTCAAATGTAGGTGTTTTTACACCCCCATTGACACAATTTAGATCCTTTAAGAGGTGGGCTTCTGACCTTGCCTGTCAGGACCAATCCATGCTGAGAAGGATACAACATTCCAGCAGAAATACTGAGTTACTTGACTCGAATTTTCTCCCCACTCTATAATTGTACTCTGGTCTTCTGCATGCAACAACGAAGTGCCTAACCGCTATACCACATATGCAGATGAAATAAGCCCAGTTGAGTGTTGAATTGTACACGTTAATGATTGTTTGATGTTTGTCTACTTGCTGGAGAGTTGACATGTACAGGGCATGCTTAAGATGTTGTAGGAAAATATTTATTTCTCCATCATAAGAATGGCATGTCATTAGTTCAGTCTGTATCTTGGTAGGCCATGGTGCGAATTATCTTGATTCAAATCACCGATGGTCTTTTTACAAACTTGGGTTGTTTGGGGAGTTTTCAACGCTTCTATCCTACATGTCTGGGTCCTCTTGGATATTGGCCTTACATTTGGAGGTCCTGCCTCTTAGATAATCCTACAGTATTGTAAAAGGCATTTTACCACTACTACACCATATCCTCACTATAAGAATTAGAGTTTGCAGTGCAACCTGAACTCTGCAAGTTCTAAGAGAACTTCACAATGATTGTTATATTGTTGCAGGTGTTACAAAACCCAACCCTCATCATGGACCTGTGTCCGAGAGAGCCGAATGGTCTTGCCAGTCAGAGCTATCGATGTGGGGAGTGCCGGTCAGCCATTTCTTTCAGTAAGTCACCCACACCTTAGCTAGGGTGGGGGGGGGGGGGAGCTCAAGAAATAAGCTCACACATCTAATGTTGGAATAACACTCAACATGGATGTGTATGAGCTTGTTTTATATTAGAACAGTTTGATGGCAAAATGCGACTTACGCCATTTTCAAAGTCTGTTTGAAACTAGTACCGTCGTATCAAAAAAGATGAGGCACATTCCAGAGCAAACTTTTTTTTTTTCACAAAACCTGATTTTTCCTCTCTAAATTAGTCTAAAAAATTTCAGAAACTTCTATCCTTTTTAAAAAAATAAACAAAACGAGATAAAAGTGGTAGACCTTTTTGACTATCTGCGACATACCCTCTGTGTGACAATACAGTTCTTTCTTGGAATCACATGACTTTGCTTGTAGTCAACGAAAGTTTGACGGTGGATCTTTCTCTTCCTTATTATTGTAATGTGGATATGTCACGTTTTGTCAAAAATACGTGAAGATTTCATGATTTCATCAATTTAAAGGATAAGAATACAACATAGATTTTCATAATACAAACAAATGTTCAGTTAATGGGTGAAGAACTGAAATGTTCTTTTTTTTTAAAAACTGGGAAAATGAATATATGTGGCATGATGGAACAAAAATGCTCTTTTACTTCTCTCCATTAGTTTCCTCTAGTTCGGGGTGGGGGGGGGGGGGGGTGCATCTACACATAAGCTGATGTGTCTTATTTTCGCAAAAAGCTCAATATGGTAATCTTTGTGTTGATGTGCTTTGTGAGACCTCACCTTCTGTGTATTGTTTCTGCATTCTTTTTAAAAAAATTGTTCTTTGCTCTTACTACAAGGTTGAGTGTTCCTCTTTCAAAATGGCTTATTTATCTCCAGAGAGATGTTGCGCTGTGGCAAAAACTGACACTCTGATTTGTGACTCCACTCCTAGATAGTCACTACCATCTTTCCCCTTCAGCTAGTCCTGAAAAAAGGGAGACAATTTTTTAAGAGCCTGTTTATATATAATAATAATAGTAATAAATAATAAATAATAAATGACATTTATGTAGTGCTCAACCCCGAATAAAGTACACAGGCTCTGAGCGCTTTACAATACAGTACAACATACAACAGTAACATGAAACGTTGTGAGTAACATGAAACGTTGTGTTCTGACTAAAGAAAATTATTCCAAATATTCATCTTATTAATTTAAAAACAGAAACGACTTCTGCTGACATTTGAATGAATCAAAAGATTTTATTTCTCTCAACGTACTTGGTAAAGCATTCCAGATCTTGGGGCCTTGGTATTCAAATGCCCTTTCACCCATTGTTTTAAGTTTCATAGATGGTAAAATAAATTTCTTTTTGTCAGCTGATGACCTTAAACTGCGAGTTGGAATGTACAGTCTTAACAGATTTGATAAATATGATGGTGCATTATCATTCAAACATTTGTGATATATGGTGGCCAACTTGTACACAATCCTTTTCTCAACAGGAAGCCAATGCAAAGTTCGTAAAAGAGGTTTAACAGAGTCTCGCTTTCTTTTCCATAAAACTAAACGTGCTGCATTGTTTTGGACAGTTTGAAGTCTTTTAACTTTCTCTAGTGATATTCCTGATAACAAGGAGTTACAATAATCGAGTTTTGATAAAATTAAGCTAGTTACTAGTAAAGCAGTATACTTGGTATTGATCAGATGACGTATTTGACTAATTTTTCTTATTTCTAAATACATGCAGCTGATCAGATGATATACCTCAGCCGACATTGACAAACTAGAATCAAAATAGATGCCAAGATTCTTAACTTTTCTTGAAAATAAAGTTTTTGCATCACCAATTGTAATGTGATCATGGTCAACCTCTTTCACAGAATTTGCATTGCCTGCCAGAATGACTTCTGTTTTATTATCATTTAACATCAATTTATTTTCCATTCCATTCCCTGTCTTATCCATTTACAATTACAGTATAATCCGCTTATATCGATATTCTTTGGGAAGTGGATTTGATGTTGATATATAAAAATGTGGATAATGAAAATATATAAAGCCAAAGAAGAAAAAAACAAGGGGAGGTCAGCGGTAAAAAAGACAGCACTACTTTTCAAAGCTGGTTGCTTCCCTTGATTCTTACACAACTGCACGAAACTAACAAGAGGCAGAGGGGAGGGGGTGTTGGAGTTACAGTACCAAATACCAACAACGCGAGGCGCACACTACACACCAGCGCAAACTTTGTTGTAGCAGCCTTGTAAGGCCTGTTTATGGTCACTTGCTGGGGAAAATGGAAAGGTGCGAGGTACTGACTCACTGACAGTGGCACTTGCCAGGGACAGACTGAGAATGGGATGGGGAAAGGGAGTGAGCAATCGGGAGTAGGGGTAGGGAGGTGATGCCCAGCACGCAAGACGCTCACCTCTGTGAGACTGAGGCACTGTACTGTGTTGGAGACCACACTGTGTAGGCCCTACATGACCTACTAAGGCCTGGTGTATCGAATAGGTTACTTAGCGGGTATTCTGACTTAATGAAGAACTAATGTGTTGACCGTAAGCGTGGCTTTTCTCGCCATTTATGTTCGTGGGCTTCCCAGGTACCCAGGAGACTAGTCGATAAAGCAGAGTAGGTCGTCCACCCCCCGGGGCAATGCCACTGACTGTAGTGTCTTTAGGCCATTCCCAAAGGGGGGACATTTCTCGTTCAAGCACAGTAGAATTGTAAATGGGCTGATCTAACAATGTCATGCTCATAACTGTCCCTGAACTACCACAGGGAACTGCTTTTTCTTTCCTAATCCCTACTATCGTGATTTTCCTCTACTTCTTTTGTATGTTTGACACACTCTTGTACCCACTATTTCCGAGGTGCCTTGATAGTCGAAGCAGATTTTGTGCTGCTGAAGCTAGAGAGGTGAGCAGAGTAAGTCTGATTCCCTGTAAGGGCTTCTCTGTTGACATCCACCCCATGGCGCTCATATGACCTTATCCAGTTGCGAGTGCCGTAAAACCTCTACTAAAACAAACAAGCAAAAAACTTACAATTTCCTATACATAGTTAGTGGACACTCTCATGTAGTCAGCTTCTTTTACTTCTTTTAGCAAATATATTATATTCGGGTGGTGGGAGAGTGTCAGTGGTTGGTCTTTTTTCGTGTCATTCCTGCTGTTGTTTCTGTCAGGATGTCTTACTTTTTTCCTGCATAAAATGAGCATTATTTTATTAATGTGCTTCAGTTTACTCAAGTTTGATTTGCATAGCAAAAATGTTAATGGTTGTAATGGATTGTGTTTGTAAGTTCCATTTTCATTGGAGAGTGCAGAATGCACATTAATGTGTCAAGGATTTCACAAACTAGTACTCTTGCAGAGTACATGGTTGCTATTGTCATGCCAGATGGCTAAGTGACTACTAAATGATATGTGAGGCAGCGTGGTGGAATCAGGCTCTCGTCAATTTTTGGGCACATAGAGTTATTGGTATCATCTTAAAGCTTGTTCACTTGTCTTTATTTGGAAGAAAAAAATATCCGTTTATCTTAAATACAATTCGAGATATTTGAGAATGAAGCAGGTGATGGTCACCTGTTTTCAGAGGTAAAATTAGTGAGAAAATGGCCGCCTAAGATTAGTTATTTCCTTAGCTTAAGAGTCCGTGGTAACTGAAAATTTACATCTTTTGTGCCTTTAATCAACGTTTTTCAGAAAAATCCACACTGAAATGAGTTTTTTAATGGGCATGAAAGGTGTTTAGCCCAAAAACAAAAATTTGATAAAAATTCACAAACCTGCGAAAAAATGCAAGTTTGTTCACTTTGATTATTTTGACGAGAGCCTGATTCCACCACGCTGCCTCACATATATTGGAATGTAATTTTATGATACACTAGAGGGTGTTTTTCATGTTGTGTTATTCAAAGGATTTTTAAACAGGATTTTGTGCTGTGGTGGCTGATTGGTAAAAAGGCCAGTTTTGATTATAATAGAAAGTGAGAGAAGCTTTGTGTAAATGAAAGATTTCTTCAGTGTATTGATTGACATTTTATTTTCTTGTTTACATGTTTGGATTGCCTTTTCCCCATATGTTCTTACCATTGTCTTCTTCAAAAAGTAAAAGAATACTCTCTGACTTGACCTAGACTATGTAACAAGAGTCTTGTTAATGGTTTTAATTAGTGTTAATTGATCAAAGTAACGCTAATGGTGTTAATAAAGTGAAATTCCTATTTATGGTGCTGAAGTCCTAATTATTAAAAGAAGACCCGGGTCGGCGATCCCAGAGAATATCGATAACATTGTTAAAAATATCAATTTTTTTAAAAGGGAAAAACATTCTTCAACATCTCTTCTGACGGGTCACAATGACAGAACTGTTTAAAAAACACCCTAAATGACCTAGAAGGGTGTTTGAAAAATGCATATTGAACTAAAAATCCGTTAAAAATTTGTTTTTTCTGTTTTTCTCAAAATCTGCTTTTTTACATTTGTGACCTCCTGGGTTCAAGACATTTTCAAAAACTACTGATTGAAGCTTCAAATTTTGCATACAAGTGCTTTAAGAGCAATTCTAGGGATCCATGTGAGGAAATATTTGTTGTGAAATATTAAAATTTTTTCTAACAAAGTTTCGTCTACTGCTTCGGGGTCCATTGACTTTGGGCTCACTTTTTTTATATTTTTAAAGATAGGTCAAAATCCTTTCATAGATCCACAGCCCATATAGATTTGCATTTGTGTACCGAATTTCAGGCTTAAGTTTCAGTATTTTAAATGAAATTTACCTGCACTAAGAAACTGGTTTGAAAATCCAAGATGGCCCCCACAGAGACCCATTTTTCAGTAAAGAGCAACAAATTCACCCTTAATAAAACCTATTCACCTATGAACTTCTTGCACAATTACAAGAAAGGGAATAAAAGCTTTTTTGTTTAGAAAATTTATCCGGGAGTGTACGTCTCCCCTTAAGTAGTAATTGAAAGCCAGTCGTATTTCTATTAATTAGTCAGAAATATATAGACGCTATTAATTAATGTGAGCCATATTAATTGTGTTAATAGTTAAAATCATATTTATTGGGGTAATCGTGAGAGTGGTATAAATTGTTTTTTAGATAAAAATTTGTATTTATGGTGGTAATCAGTAAAAGTCATATTTAATGCTATTAATATTAAGTACTGAGAGTCCTTATAGTGTTGATGTTGAATCTCTGACAGAATCAGGCATGAGTGAGCCTCGTATGTGTGACTACTCTGGCCGCTACTACTGTGAGTATTGTCATTGGAATGACTCCTTTGTGATCCCAGCGCGTGTACTGCACAACTGGGATTTCACTGGACACAAGGTGAGTTGGTTGTTATTGATATTATTTTTATTGCTGTTGTTTTTGTTTTTGTTGCTGTTATTGATGTTTGCTGACTCATTTTGTGATTCAGGTGAAATTCTCCTTTAGTTCATTTGCTCATGCTCAACTGCAAGTACTTTTCGGGTTATTTTGATTCGAATCACAGTTGACTTGTGTTTTTTGAGGAGATTAAACGGCTCTTCATGAATATAGCTTGATCCTGTTGGAGACAGACATGAAGTAGAGATATATAGATTAGAGTTGGACTGTGGGTGGTTGGCGGGTGCTCTGGTGTGGTATGCTTCTTCTGTCCTATCAAACATCATCCTTATCTCCCCTTTTTCTTTTTTATGTTTGTTACTCTCTTGTAACACCTCTAATCTTCTTGTGTTCATATGACCTTATCCAGTTGCGAGCACCGTAAAACTACCAAAAAAAAAAGAAGAGTTGAACTGTATTCAGAGTTTGCACCGTTTATGTTAGTGGGTATTTAGTGGGTATTCGGATGTGGTTTGCTCCTTCTTTCCTATTAAACATGTATCATCCCTATCTCTCCTTCTTCGTGCCTGTTACTCTTTTGTAACACCTCTAATCTTTGCTGACCTAATTAAGTTGAAAGTCCTGTAAAATGGTACATGTATGTTGGAATACAATTTGGATGACTCTGGTTTTAATTCTTGGACTAACCTTATTTAAAAAATGTTCATGGCTCTCTCTCTGTTTAATCCAATCTTATTGGAGATGGATGTAAATTTGGCGGTCCTTCCTCGAAAGAGGCATTAAATTAGGTTGTCAGCAGATTCTGTGGTGCAGTTTCCTCCTTTCCTATAAAAAAGCTGTCTGTCTTTCTTCTGCGCCCCTTCTTTGCATATAATTGTTGCCGTCATTTGTCATTGTCATATTTCAAAATATGAGGTTTTCAGGAGAAGCGAAAAAGTGTTTCATTTCAGGCGGGGCATTATGTCAATACAAAATGTGTAATTCGTTTAGTCTGTTCTTAATTCAAGAAAGGAATGAGACTAGGACCAATCAGTGTGCCTCATCATACTCTACAATATGTTTCATGTTGAAATTCTGACATACTATAATGTTGAATGATAGTGATGATTTGACCTATTTGTTTTGCAAGTGCCATAAAACTTGTACAAAAACTAAAAGGTGAAAAATCCATAACATTCCAAATGTGTTTATTATGCTATGGTCAATGCAGGTTTGCCGTGCATCCAAACAGTTCCTGAAGCTTATGCAGCACAAAGCCGTCATCCGAATCCAGGATATCAACCCTATGCTTTTTGTCTATGTGGATCAGCTCAACGAGATCAAGGTTTGATACCCATGCAGTCTTATTGTGTAAAGGGAAATCAGATCTGTTCGATTCAATGGAGATTGGATCTCTTTGGGTCATAGGAAATCGTGTCTCTTTCGGGTTTTAAAAAAAATATGTTTCTCTCTTTACTCACTTCTGTGTTTCTGTAGCTGTTGTACATTGTTTTGTCTTAATGACCCACGTTTGATATCTCTTCAAGTAAAGAGCTGTTGCAAATTTATTTTTTTTACTTTCAAATTTTCTTGTGCTTTCTGTTCGTTTTGAGCATGAATTAATGGCTGTTATATCATAATGGATGCCCTTGGCATTGCATACAAAAGATATGACTAAAATTACTCGGTGGAGAATGTCTGTTTTATCGAGTACCCCCATCTTTCTGCTGGGATCTGTATCCTACTCAGCTCGAGTTGACCCAGACTAGCAGGGTCAAAGCCGTTGTCCTGTAAATAAAATAAGTATGTTGGGGGGGGGGGGGTAAAGCATTTAAAATCATGACCATTCCTGTCTGCTACCCCAGTAGCTGTATCGTTGCTCTCAGGTAACTCCTGAGTTGGCTTGTATAACTGAGAAAAAATAGAATGTCTCGTTACGTAAAGATTTAGGAAAAATATGAATTTGAAACTTATGAGCTGTGTGACTCTGTCAATGAATGCTTTATCTTTGACTTTGATTGATAATTGTGAGAAACATGACTAAAAATCCCTTTTGTATGTGGACTTATTTCTGAGTAGAGAACTATTTTATTTCTTTTTTGATAGTTTTCTAGTTCCTTTCTTTTGCCAGTTGTCTATACTCTGTTCACATTATTTAGCTTTTTGTTTAAAAATATCATCATTGTTTTGTAGCTATTTATATATGAGCAGGAGCATGTAGACAACTAAATATAATTAGTGATATTACTTTTTTTATACTTCATACTTTCAGCTAAACTGTTCATAGTTTCTTTGTTTACATTGTTCTGCATATACAGGGATTTTCTCATAATTTCTGTATTCTTTGTTTGCTCCCTTACAGGAGCTGTCATATAATTTCTGTACTTTATATGTGTCACGACATGGTGGAATCGGGCACTCGTCAATTTTTAGGCATATGGAGTTATTAGTATCATTATAAAGCTTGTTCATTTTGTCTTACATTTGGCGAAACCCCCCCCCCCCCCTCATTTGTCTATATAGATGTCGAAATATTCGTGATTGAAGGAGGTGGGGGTCACCTGGTGTCAGAGATAAAATTAGTGAGAGAATGAAAGCCAAAGTTTAGTGACTTCCAAAACTTTAGTGTCCTTGGAAACTGCGTGTTTGTGCCTTTGATAAAGATTTTAAAAAAGTAAAACCCCTGTAAAAATGTTGAGCCAAAAATAGAAGAAAAAAAACCAAATAAAAAATTGCCAGACGGCCAGAAGTATGCCTGTTTCATTGATTTCAATACCTTTCTCCCTCCAAGACCTAAGATTGACAACACACTCTATGGAACATTACAGCTACTGCAGCAAACCTGCACTTATCACTACATGGCATTGGACAGAAGGGCGAGAGTCCAGCTGTTGCTGGATCAATAACAACAACAACAACTTTGATTTCATTATTTTGATGAGCGCCTGATTTCACCAAGCTGCCTCATATAATAAACGTTTGCAGGAAGTGTCACATAATTCCTGTATGTTTGTCTATTTCTGTTGCTGTAGAAACTTCGTGAGGAGATGATGATCATGAAGAAGTACATCCTGTCTTGCCCAAGCGCTATGGCTGCCAAGCTTCTGCTGTTGCTGGCAAAACGCCAGCATTTTGTGGAGTGTTCAGACAGATACTCCATGCAGGTGAGGAAAAGTTTTTACTGGATCAGACTTAGTTTGGTCATGAATGTGCCTCGTCATTGAGTCAGAACAATGACAGAGGATTCAATAATTTATTTTGAGATGGTGATGGTTGTATCATCAGACCAGCTAACTACTCCAGTAAAATCAGATTTGTATATCACTCTGTGGACCAACTGACCCCCTCCATCTGTATGCTGACCCATTTGATTATTTATTTGTTTAGCCTGTACAGTGCAAGGAAGACTTTTAATAAATGGTAGTTGAAAAAAGAAAGGAATTGATATCACAAACCCTAGCCTATACAAGGATGGCATTTTTACAAATTGTAGTTGAAGAAACAAAGGAGGTGTATCACAGACTCTAGCCTGTACAAGAGAGAATTTTGCAAACAATAGTTGAAGGAACAAATAAAATGGTCGTAGATTCTTAACCCAGCGTATGCAAAAAGAATTGTAAAAGGGTGGGAACAAAACTGCCAGTAGGCAGGTGTGCACTACAGACTTGCCTTGAGTGTTTGGCCTGTGCAGTGACCATGTGTAGGGATTGTGACGGCAAACTCACACAGATAAGCTCATTGGGAAAAGTCTTTGACCCTTACTTACATGTAAACTTCACGGGGTCCCACATTCGAAACCTGACAGTGTCGGAAAATTTTCTTCTCTAAAAAGTGTTTCTCATTTTACCTTTCCAGCTCCCTAATCATGTTCTGTTGTCTGATTTTGTCTCCTGTTTCTGCCCCCCCCCCCCACCTCCCCTTTGCTCCCTCCTCTTGGCTCCCAACTCTTTCTGCTGCCTTTCTGCTGCTACTTCTTGGCTCTTTCTTACTGCTGCCTTTCAGCCACACCCCTGATCTTAGGGTAGGTAAGATCTAACCCCAAGCCTTCTTGAAGGACAAAACTTTGCGACGGTCCTGTTCGAAAATTGCGCTCTTTAAAGATCCCTTGGCGGTCCTAAAATTGATAAGAGTAGGCTTTGGACGCCACCTGAGCAAAATTCAAAAATTAATTCCTACCAAACTGAAAATGCATAATGTGTCCCACTCGCTCATGTGACCATATGCAGCTGCGCATGCCCTAAAATACTCACCAAAAAAAAGATTTTAAAATTTCAAGGGGCGAATTCTTGATCTGAACAATATCACATTCATTTTTTTTCAGTGAAAGTTACAAACCCCTCATTATGTAAAGACTTGTTTCATACTATTTTATGTGCACATTTTTAGTTAGTGTTTTGAAATTTTTGGGGCTAACTGGGTGAGAAAAAAAAAGAAATTACTATCTTGTAATATCCTTGGATGCCAAAAAATTCAGAACATGAAAATTTGGAAGATTAAATATAGAATCTTATAGGGATCTCATACTCCAAGGTCTTTGTTATAGAACTTGATTTATATTATCCTGTGGTTAAAATTTCTTTCTTGTGCAGGGAGATCTGCCAGGGAGGTCTAAGGTTGTTCCAAGTTCCAATTTTGAAATGAGTGGATGAGAACTATATACTGCACAGCGATAGTTTTACTTTATTATTACGGTACCCTACTTTGCTTCTCATTACAATTTTCTTGTTCTTTCTGTGTATTGTGGCAGGACTTGCTGGATGCAGAGGACGTATTGGTACCAGAGCTGGTTAATGTCCACAGCACCTGGGCACAGCACATCAAGGTGGACTGTGAGGTGAGGCTTGCTTGTGGTTTGTTTGGGGATTTTTTGTGTGTCTCTTCTCATCTCCAGTGTTTTTGTGTTTTTTCTGTGATTTTGGGGGAGGGATGGGGCTAGGTTGGGGGGGGGGGGGGGGGGGGGTGCATCTACACATAAGCTGATGTGTCTTATTTTCGCAAAAAGCTCAATATGGTAATCTTTATGTTGATGTGCTTTGTGAGACCTCACCTTCTGTGTATTGTTTCTGCATTCTTTTAAAAAAAATTGTTCTTTGCTCTTACTACAAGGTTGAGTGTTCCTCTTTCAAAATGGCTTATTTATCTCCAGAGAGATGTTGCGCTGTGGCAAAAACTGACACTCTGATTTGTGACTCCACTCCTAGATAGTCACTACCATCTTTCCCCTTCAGCTAGTCCTGAAAAAAGGGAGACAATTTTTTAAGAGCCTGTTTATATATAATAATAAT